GTCATTTTTCGATTTTTGAAAAACTTATGTTAACCTATAACAGTGGGTGATGGATTAGTGTCACTAGATTTGTTTAAAATTCAATTGTTATAGAATCATGGCCGACTACTAAAAAAGAAAATCCTAAAAAAATAGTGTCAATTCAATAAAATGGGAATAAGTCAGAAACTGTTAAAGATAGCTATAGGAACATGTATAGTCAAAATATGCCAATTTCGATTCTCTATCTCATGGAATAGTCAGAACAGGGTCATTCCATTAAAAAAAACTGAGTTTTTAGTCTTTGAAGTTTCATAAATTTGGATATTCATAGGGGCGGTCGTACGCAACTTAACTTTTTTTTAAGTGCACTAAAAGAAAGCCCTATTCATTCTCTATGCACTGATAAAAATAGGTTGCCATGACTACAACCGTTTGCAAGTAATCAATTATCAAGGAACCATCTGCATCCGCCATTTTTTTTCTTAAAGTCAAAATAACTTAAAAACCATAAATGGTAGATATCGACATATGGGTATCAAAAGAACTGAAATTTCACATAGAATCCAAAAATGCAATAAAAAATAGGGGTTGCCATTTAAAATAACGAAGTTACTATCTACTTCCGGTGTTTCCGGAAGTGCGGCCATTTTGAAAATATTTTACAGCGATTCGGCCTTCAGAGTAACTCCTAAGTACAAATTTTCAAAAACCTACCTATTTTACTTTCCCAGAAACTTTTAACTAAAGCTCCCAAAAAAACACCCTGTATATTAATTTCACAATTCCAGGCACCTGTTTTCGTAGGTTTTATTAGTTGCTCCTGAAATGGGTCATACTTTAAGGGCTGGTATTTCATGTTGTCCTTAACTACATCTGAACAATTTCCATGGCAAAGTGTGTTTGCGTAGATGGCTATCAGAAAGTTTCACTTACATACAAAAAACCGGTCCTAAATCGACTAAAGGTTGATTAACATTCGTGATTTTAATTACTAAATATTACTAAAGCATAGAAGAGCCATACGAATTATTTCAATTAATTTACGTATTTATTTGGGAATTTGCAAATCTATCTGGATCTTGCAGTATCCTTGTGTGACTATGTAATAAAATTGGTTTAATATTAAGACAAACCAAGGTAAGCTACATCCCATCCAAGCGATATACTTCCAAGTCACTTACATGTAACATGGCGAGTTGTACCGGGCGACTATTGCTTTTCTGGCATTCGCTCCTTGCGGTAATGTAAAACAGTAGTATTTCAGGATTACTCGTAAGATGTAACTTACCTATGAATTCTATAATTTCGATTTTATAATGTAATTCTTATTCATCCGGTTTATATAAGCACGTTATAATTGGTCCACTTTTAGATTCATTACAAAATAGTGTAACATAATTTGTTATTAAAAAACCTGTGATCGTTTATGAATAGTCAAAATTGTTATTCTGGTCGCCGACCTATCAGTCTCCACAGGTGCGTACCTGTTCAACATAGAATATATCTCTCTTTTGGGATTTATGTGAGCTTTACAGAATTTTGTGGCGCTATTCTAGGTCACTTTGTTGTTTTCAAACATTTCTAGGTTACGAATTGATTTCTGGATCCTTTTTAAAATCATTTGTTGTAAGAGTTTTCTAGGCTCTCTAGGCAATCTATTATGAATAAGAAATTTGAACATTGCGTGTCATATTTCTCAAAATTTTTCTTAACTAACCTTGTGATTTTTTTACATGGATGTGAAAAGAAAACAAAATACTATGTAACATTACCAAAAAAATTTAGATTGCCATTTAAATTTTTTGCGATTTCACATTGTGAAACTATGACGTCAAAAACCGTCAGAGTGTGACAAATAATTAATCATTTAACTTTTTTTAATATGACTAATAGTAACGGCTCCAGCAACAATGCTCCTTCCTTTTTATTCACCCTGTATGTACAAATGTTTATACAATTCTTAGAACACAACAAGCAAATAAGAGGGGTAGTTAATAGCGCGGTACATAAAATATTGCGTAAGCAATCCTAACGTCTGACGCGGAGACAATCGTATATTAAAACCGTAATTAATACTCAAAAAGAATCAATAATTCGAATGACTTTACACTAGCAAACACAAATTCTGGGGAGTAAAACAAATAACGTGTCTAAAAATTTACAATATCGTTAACTTTCAAAGGGGTTTCGTTAATACTTGCGGTTACAAGTCAGGAAAAATTATCGAAGGGTACGTAGGTCACAGGTAATGGTGGTATAATTTTTCAAGCCGGTAAGATAGAAACTCATCTATGGCGTTCTTGGATTGGTAATATGGTGGCGGGACATCCCCAATGAGTATTCCTTGCGCAATATTGAGAAAATCTACAATTCGGTGGTTTTCACTCAGGAATAGCGATGTAGCAAGTACAATCAAGTAGGTAGTAATGAAGAAAAGAGTAAGCCAGAAGTAAGAAGCCTAAAAATGATGGTCCAAAGCCAAGGGCAATTACTACTAGTAATTATAGTTGAGTCTCGTTTTGTACAAAGAAGTGCGTGCTCCGAGAGGAATCAAAGAAACTTCTACACGACCTCGAGCGGGAAAACAAAGAACTACTGTAATAAGAAATCTAAAACACGTGGAACAAATTTACTACAGAAACTACTTACATCTAAACTAGTGCATTACAAACGAAATATCTAGATGGCGTAGGAATTTTGAATTTAAACTACGAACGAAAAAATTTAAGTAAGGATACGAATCGAAGGTTACTTAAGCGGAATTTTAATCGGGAATGGCAATCGGTAAGAAAATAACGTTACAACTTTCTCTCTCTTTGAAATCACTTTTTCGTCATTCATTTCCTTTCGTCCTTCTCAACGGTTTTTTATTTTTTCTGATTACCTTCATGTCAATGTCACTTTATTGGAAATTTCTTGGTACTGCTTAGTTTTTTTCTACGCTTCATCTGCTCGTCAGTGTTGTCGCCCCTTTTACCTCTATTGTATTTAGCTTTACTTCTTTATCGTTTTTCTTCTATCAGTATCTCATCATCTTCTCGCTATGCTGCTTTTATTTCACCGTCACTTTACCATCGCGTCTTCTTCACTTTCTCACCATTACCTTAACGGGCCATATTACATTACTAAAGATTAAATGAGTCCAATCCGTCACATTTTGGGCATGTTTAATTAATCAGAACAGTGGGATTAGTCTGGAGAAGATTGTGGATTATAATTTGCGTCTTGGCATTCGAGGCGACCCATACGATCCTTAAGATTCGCGTTTTGGTCATTGTTATAGAAGTGACCAGAATTTCTTAACGTTCTTTCAAAAATTTAAATCTTTTTGGGGGGTAATAGTATAATTTCTTATAGTTGCGGAAGTCCACAGCTTGTAAAAAAAGGATTAGAGTTCTTTTTTTGGTGGAAAGATAGAAAATATAACGGATCGGATAAAAGTTCCTTTTTGTGGTAAAAGTGTATAAACAAGTGTGGCGAAATTCGAAATTGGTGGTCATTTGTGTTAACAGGGGTACAGGAAGATTATTAAGCGAAAATTACAACTACTGCATAAAAGTAAAAGAGAAAAAAGTTATGAAAGGAGTCGATCTAAGCTATATTTTTTTTAGGTTGGTATTAGCAAAATTTCACTTGAAAGTGAAATAGAATTGCAGTTTGTATAAAGGACCAGTTACTTCACTTTCAACTTTCGTGGAATAATTTTCAGCATGTAAAACTGTCTTAAAAATGTGGCGCGTCACAAATATTCTTGCGTTATTAGCAAGTACGCGGTGTAAAAAGAACAATTATTAGTTTCGAATGAATAATAAACCCATTATCTCGTCGAGTATAATTACATGAACAAATTCAAGGTAGGTCTAAACATAAATACCTAATATTCCCAAGGAACATTTTTTTGTAGTTAATTAAAAATAAGTTTGTACGGCGAAGAAGCGAAAACTCTCCCGTTTGCAAAAAAATCAGTAGGATTGTCAGTGTTATTTTGACTGTATTCGATAAATTTTTCGCTTGCACAAAGTGACGAAAGTTCCTGGTCAATAATAACACTAAAGCAACCCCAACAATTCGTTATCCTCAAGATATACTCCGGAGTCTCCAACTGCAAGGTCAGTGGTGATAGGTGTCTTTAACAGTGAAGGAATTAAGGGTATTTTTGATATTTATTTCATTGCTCGAAAGCCAGTAAGGGTTGGAAACGTGTCCACGGATTAAAAAATTCGTAAAAAAAGTTAGGTTTGGAGGAATTGAATCGAGCTAATCTCAAGCAGAAGATTTGTAAAAAAACTGGAGCTGGATTGAGTTTGATTATATTTATCAATATATGGATTGGATATATGGATAATCTACCTGTCAAAAGGCCTGGGCTTTGTGCGCTTCTGTTCGAAACATCGATGCAGCTCAGGGTGGGTAAGGTAACGAAGCTTATCAGCAGATAAGTACTTGCTAAGGGCATCGTTTACAACGAAGGGCGAATCCTACCAAAAATATAAATTTAACAGATCGGGCATTGTGAAAGATGGAATCAAACCCAACTTCTGTTTGCAGTGCAAATCTTATACAAATTGTGTTTTGGACATTTCAAAAATAAATATGATCAGTAGACTTTTTATCTTTTTTCTATTGTCTATTAGAATAACACAATTGTGTAGTCAGATGAACAGTTTATGCAATGACAATTATTTGAGTACTTTAATACCAAATAAACAAACGCGTTACTCTTACTTTTACTCAAAAATGGGTGTTAAGAAAGTAATAACGCTTTAAAATTTATTATTCGCATAAATTATGTCTAAATATAACAAACGGCAGTTATTTCGGAATGAAAATTTGAATAACAGCAATTAAAATGAAACACGAATTATTAAGCTTTTACGTTCGTTCAAGAGAAACAAGTACACTTCATCACCAGACGCAGGCTGTTTAAAAGTCAAATAATTTTATCTAAATACTGTTACATTTAATAATTTTATTAACTGATGGCGTATTCCTATAACTAAACTCATCTTTCGTTCCAGATTATTGTATACGTGTGCGGTGAACCGGAAGCATAGGTAAGATTAGATAAGTACCTCTATCGATTTTCGCAATAATACGTTTAGCACTATCGCCTGATCAAGTATCATGGAAGTCCATTAGCGGAAACTAGGTGCGTTCAATTTCGAAATGCGCTCCAGTGTTTTGTTATAGACAATTCGATTTATAGCGAAGTAGGTAGGTGTGCAGATAAGCATAATTCGTTCGCCCCAAATTGCAAATTTCGTTATGAATTTGTAGCAGAGTGCACATCTGATTTACAGTTTAGTACGCAATAAATATTAAGTTTTTTTTCTTACTGGAAGGCTCAATGCGTAGCAGGTTATTTCCTTTTACATAAGAAATGATGTGCAAGAGAGCCATAAATCTCGAGCCGGGAAACAACAAAAAACGGAGAAAGCTGCTTCTGAAATGTGTTACCGAACAATCAATTATTTAGAGTTGCTTTTCTGGGATGAGTTAGTGAGTATGCATCTTTATTTTTATTCGGCCCGGCTCCCGAGGATGGATTACTGCGTTTCCAGATCGGAAATACATTCACACCTCGAAACATTTCAGTCGTGGAAATAAAATTAACTATTTAACCAATGGATACGAAAGATAGAAATAATAAATTTCCAATTGGACGTTTAATGTATATTTGTAAGATATTGCCCTTATCCGCCTTCCACCGGAGTTGGCTTAATGGAAAGATGTACGTAACAATTTGCTCCCTTTTGTGTATAAACGTGTTTCAATGGCGCTTGATTTATATTAACGTATTATTTACACATAATTCGCTTTATTTACTAACTCTGCTATCAGCTCTTTGTACGACCAATACATATATTTGTTGGCTATTAAATTAATAATAGTTTACACACAAATAGCAGACGTGAGATAGTACCTACTACCGTTGAGCAAATTTAATTACTCAATGGTACTACCAATAGCATAATCTACTCATAATAAAATCATTTACAAAATCACTACGATTTCAGTGCGAATTGGAATTACTTACTGGCTTGTTACCTATGACCTTTCATCACCGTCATTTAATTATTGCGAAAGCTAAATTAAGTTTTAACTTCCGTACGGTACAAGGGTTCAGCTAAATTGGAGTTCTGGATCTGATATTTACTGTCGTTTGCCGTCATATTGTGATCGTGCAATACCTAATATGTCGGTTGTCATGCACTCTACGACAGTAGTAAGCATAAGCGCTTTTCTGGAGTTAATTTTCATGTTCTTTGGTCTTGTTTGGGGTGGCATTCCAAAGTCTAGCAAAAAATAAATCGATTGCAGTACAGCTGACTACAATCCAATTTTTACCCCATCCCCATCATTTTCAGTTTTAACCCAATTCCGATATCTCGTAACAGAAACACGTTATACTTGTACCATTTGGTAAAGCACTACGTCTATAAGGTCTTTGAGCTGTAGGTTAGCACAAGCAATTACTCTCATGTTCATTCATACGTTAAGTAGATTTCACATGTTTTGTCCATTCCCGAAACACATTTCATTTGATTCACTTACTATAAATTAAATACGTGATTTATTTGTATAAAATTAATTAATAATTAATTTATAACAGTTCATAAATAGGTTGATTTACAACAGATAATTAGTATTTACTACTCACTTGTGCTCAAACTTATTACATGTAGACTTTTAAGAAACAACCGCAAAATCACTACTCATCAATTTGGCGTTGATGTCATTAAACACGCTTATGTAACACACGAAGTTTCTAGAAACAATCACGGAACATCCTCGAAGGCGTATCATATTTTAAGAAAAGAATGCGTGGCATCTGCTTTCATTCTTTATCAACGCCGATTAATATTTTATCGACTTGATGGCGCCTGCTGGCGCTCCGATGTCTGGGATACTCGATACAATATATTGCAGTTTAAAGTACAGTACACCTCAGTACATTAAATGCA